TTCAGGTTTTGTGTGCCATGTGGTTTGTTTCTGAGGGAGTGTATTTTTAAAAAGAAAGAAGATTCCACTTGTTTGGAACCTTTCTACTATAAATACTCACAGGACTACTTAAATATGAGTACATATATGAGTGCTGGCTTTTAAAAAAATTGGTAGCTTAAAGACTCTACCAGAATCGCTACCTACTCCTGTTTTAAGGAAAGATTTCCCAACTCTGGATCTGGGGACCCACACCTGCTTGTTTGTGTTCCAGTTGACCTTAGTGTAATACCTGAGCCCTTAACTGACCTAATAATAGGGATTTTTGAAATCTTTAATTTCCTAAACATGTGGGAGATCTGCTTTCTAATGATTGCATTTCATAACTAACTTGAGATATCCAGCTTATGAGTAGCAAAATCATCAGAAAGGCTCCAATCAAGTAAAACTGTTAGCTCAGTTAAGGATCAAGTTAAAGAGCTTGACAGGTACGAACATAAGTACATGTGTGTCCCCAGACTAGGCAGGAGAACCCCTATTGTACAGTAATTTGACCTTTCTAGATATGTGTAGGTTAAAGTGCTTGTTACACTATATAAAGCTTAGCAGAACAGCCTTTGACACCCAACACTGGAGTGGAATGTCACATGACCCATAAAATCACTGAAATTTTAATGATCTGTTCAAACAAATAAACAGTCAGCTGCTTCAGATCTTATCCAGGAGTTCCTGAAGGTTTGCTGGAGTGGTAACACTGAAATGCACTGTATTTATAATAGAGCACCTCTTGACAACTGTCCAAAATTAAAGACGTTTCCTGGTATTTCATGTTCCTTTGAATTGAATTTTCAATGACACTCTGCTGCTCTTTGCTCTGCATTCCTGCTCTCTGAAGACTATTGTTCAAGGGATAAAGAAAACAGCATTCATGGACAATAGGGTCAGTTAAGGTAATCTTGAAAAGGAAAAATCGAAATATTGCAAATTCATAGTGCAGTGGGGGTTTTGAGTTACAGTGTCCTAAATAACAACACTTTCTTTATGTGCAGTGACTGTAAAGGTGCTTTTCATAAAGAATTAGGAAACAACACTCTTAAAGGAAGACTGTGCCTTTTAAAGACTATCGGATGTAAATATTTTCAACATACTTTTGTTTTCTAGTTTTTGACAGAAAAAGAAAGCATAAGCTGTTAATTATGACTTAACCTACCAAGTCAATAATTATACTCTTTTATGTAATAATTTAAGTCAGCAGAGCACAATTCCATTTACAGTGATAACCTTGCCAAGAGGCCATCACTGTTGTTGCACAGAAGACAGAGCAGTGAAATAAAATTGGGAACAATAAAATGGCAATAATAAAACAATACAGCGCAGGGTTAACATGCAAGCGTCAGGCAGAAGAAACAATCATTAAGCTGAAAGCACACTCCGATACAAAGGTGGACAGTTTCAGCTGAATGTCAGATGATTTCGGTCATGGAAGCAGTAAACTTGAATGCATGTGCAAAAAGACCATAATGTACCTTCTTCAACCATGGGTTCAGTTAACTCATTTTCACACAGTTAAAATAAGCCCTATAAAAAAATCAAACCCTAAAGAGATGTAATCCCATCCATTACGACAAGGATGCTTGCCCTGGTAAGGGCACAGCTACAGACGCACACAGCACAATGCGGTGGTGACACACTGCATGGGACGCCAAGCCATCACAGGGTGCACACACACAAAACCACAACAAACATGAGGGAGCCTGGGACCCCAACATCGTACCACGTATTCAGAGAAGCAGCTGAGGCATCTCTGTGAAAGAAGTCTTGCTCCTTAAAACCAATCCTCTCATCTTTAGGAAACCACAAACGATTAACACCTAATCCTCCTTAAGTCAGTCAGCATCTACAGTATATGTAGATGTATCTGGATGTAGATCTTGATCCAGCCAGATCTCAGAAGGTAAGCAAGACTGGGCCTCACTAATACTGGGAAGGGAGGCCACTACAAATAAGTAGTATGAATATGTATATTAAGAAGTACATTAATAGGTGTGATCATTTAATCTATAGAATTGGAATTTAAGAGTAGGAGTATTAACTTTGGTTTGGTTAAGTCACACTTCTTACTTACTTTTCCACTCCAGTTCAACTTGAGAACTAAATTATTCTCTTCTCTTCCTGAAGAATTTTGAGTGGGTTCTCAATTTTAGTGATAAATACCATAGATACCCTTCTATACAGTATGTAAAGCACTTTGAAACCCTTCTGGATGGAAAGTGCAATTGTAACACACCATGTTGACACAGAATACCCAAAGTCATCTTACTGAAATTTTCCAACCAGTTTTTCGCAGAAGCCATTTAATCTATCTATATGTCTTGTGGGAGGACACCAGAGCACCTGGAGGAAACCTACGTTAACACAGGGAGAACATACAAACTCCATGTAGACAGTACACTAGGAATTGAACCCAAGGCCCCAGTGCTGCGAGGCAGCAATGCTAACCACTGCGCCACCATTCCACCTCTGACTCCAACCACGTTCAGGAAAATACAAGACTTTACCCCATAAGAATCATCGGGATCACGCATAGACCTCCTGCCACAAGGAAGCTGAAGCCGGAAAACCAGGCCACTGTTGCAGCATAGATGCTGTTAAATACAGCAAACGTCGCACTGGCACTTAAGCTCTCCAAGAAGGCCACACAGGCGAAGAGTGCCCCTGCAAAGAGAGCAGATTCAGCAGGCTTTCATCATTCTCGCAGAGGAATGACTGAATGCCAATTCAGGGACAACGCTAGCTTCAGAAATCAACAAGCAGACAATGAGAACATTAACTGCTGCTTATTTTAACGTGTATCTGCCGAGAGATAAAGCCTTTTAAAGTGCTCGACATAAAAGGCTTAATTCGGCTTTTCTTTCATTCTCAATGTACAAAATGGTATCTTTTTTTTGTGGTTCACGGGAGCTCTGATACTTGTTTAAAATAGAAATGATTTCTGTAATTAAGTGTCCGTCGATCGTGCCCTTGGGTGAATGTTGGATTTCTGCATACTCATTGCATGAGGAAAGTTTCAGTTTTCGGATCTAAATCTATGAAAAGCAAAGCATTACGGATGTTTTTGGTGGATTTTTATTACAAACTGCCAGGCCTCCTGAATGGCTCTGGCAGTATTGGTACTCATTCTCCAAAGCACAGCCTGGGCTCTGTCCCCGATGTTGCAAGTTTGGACCTGGGTTGGAGCAGCACTCACAAGTACATAACATGCTGCAACACAGACTCCCAGGCAGTGGCCACAGAACAGTATCTCCACTGACCTTGGTCCACCCAGTACTGGCAGAATTTAATCCATTCTGCATGGCCTAGGCCAGCGAGAGGGAATGCCTAGATTGGTTTTTCCAGATGGCTTTTCTGGAAAAGCCACTTACCTTGTTCAGATTTCGAAACGATCTTGGACATCATGGCCCTCAATACGGGAGCAGGCATAAAGGCAAAAAGCATAGGCAACCTAACTAAGAAAAGAGAAACAAGATGGTCAGGGTGTTGTGTGATGTCATTCACAGAGAACAGTGATGTAACACTGCTCTGTGCTTCACTGCCGTCTGACTCAATACTGAAGAACTGTTCACCTCTTCATTCTGTCATTGTGAATGAGAGACTCTAGATCCCTAAAACATCTGAATACAAGCCATGAAAAAATAAAGATCTCTTGCAAAGTATGGAGGAGTTAAATTAATATACTGTATATATCACAGAGGCTACAGAAAACGGACAAGTCTGTTTCAAAGACTATTCTTTGGATATCAAGATTGTAATGTATACAGGTACAGAAGAAATCACAGATGCTTAGCAGAACACATTCATTTAAAATACATGAATACAGTATATTCTAGTTCCTAGTGTTTATACTTGCCTTCCTGAAAAAACCCAAAGCACCTCATATACAGGCCAGGGCCAAAGGGGTTGATGTAAATAATTCATTCTACACCAGTAGCCACACTACACTAAATATCAGGAGGAGGAGTAAAATATTTAGGGGGACATTCAAGCAAGTTAGACTCAGCAGTCTAACAGCAAAGCACCCCTTACAGCAGAAACCCGATTTTCCTTCAAGATCTCCCAGTACTGACCAGGACCAGCACTGCTTAACTCCCGAGATCTGATGAATTCAGGCCAGAAGGTAGTAACACTGCTGTCAAATTATCTAATATCAGTTTAGAAACTGTTGTATTTGAAGACTGGACGAGTGGTGCCAATTATATTTATACCATTACAATCTTATTCTTAGAATACCTTAATATGGTCCATATGGAATTAAGTTCAGTGTTGTTTTTAAAAAGGCAAAGTACTAATGTTTTAATAAAAAAAATCTACAATAAATCTAAAACATACAGGATGCTAATATTAGAAGGTCACTGTATTATTTGACATGGGAGAATATTACCATAGTACTAAATAGTATTTCATGAATAAATCTAACATGACCAACACTCCTATAAAGAATGTGTTTTTTTTTATAACACTAAATTGTGATTTGGGGAAACTCAAACAATTTAGAAAAAGCTTTGGTACTTCAACAGTTGGCTTATATATTCTCAGACTGCTACAATACAACAGTCAACTGAAGAACTCTTGCCATCTCCCCGAGAGGGGAATTCGCTACATGCTCTGAGTTACACTCACTTATAAAGACACTGCATAAGTGAGACCTCTGATGGATTATTTTCTAATACCAGACATGAGCTTAAGAATTATCTCTCCTTATCAGTAGAAAACAGAGGGCTTTAAAGGGGAAATGTAGTCCCAATTTCTCAGACAAGTTAATAAATCTTGTTAACAAATTCATTGACAGTATAGAAAAATGTTACAAATTTTGAATTAAGCACAAAAATTGTGAATTTTGTAAAAGTACTGTAAGTCGCCATATAATCGCTAACCCCTGATCTCACCACAGGCGAGAGCAAGAGATCCCACAAATTGTGACGTGATGCAGCCCTTCCTGCTTGCTAGTCACTATAAAAACTTATGTAATACGATGTACAAGCAAATTAAGTACAAGTTGTGCAGCAGATTTCCCCGCAAAAAGTTTTTAATGGGATCTGCATGCAGAGTTACCAAGTAAGTTCCATTTATCAGCAAAACTCTCTCAAAGTTGAGAGCAATATTTCTGTTTGATTAAAAGAAATGTATTCAGAAATCATGTTTACAATGTAATATGGCCACTTCACATCACCGGACATTTTGTGGCCTCGTTCTGAATTGCAGAATATGGTGCTGTGCATACCTGGAAATTCTGTCTATTTCGTGATGTAAATTGGACATATTACAGGTTACTGTGTATATTTTACTTTTATTGTGGTTTGAAATCAATGCTGATACTTTTGAACCCCAAAATATAAAAATAGCATCTTTATGCAAACAAAATCAAGATAAGGGCTCCACAGGAAAACATAAGTCATTGTGGCAAACTTAATCCCACAAAATGAGCTAAATGTTTTCTTCTTGTTCTATTGTTTTGATACTTGTAGAAGCTCTTGCATAACTTCATTCCCATGGTATAATTTTACTGCTCCGTTTCCAGCACAAGATGAACTAATAAAAAGTGTGAGTAATTGTGCCTTGTGCGGCTGTGCTCCAACGCCCTGGAACACAAATCCAGACGAAACCCAGAACTGTCACTTTGGGTGCTTTTAAGCTTAGCTAAAAAAAACTTTTTCAGAGAGATGTTTTGTGATTGTTGTATTCTCTGTATCTACTTAGTTTTCTTGGCTTTGTATTTTTTCTGTATTTTGGATAAAGTGCTTTTTGTCAATATTGAGCCAATTATTTTTAAAGATGATATATAAAATAATTTTTATTATATGGTCTTTGAAAACTTTTTGAGTAAAACAATGTTGGTGGATTTAGACATCGAAGCTGTTACCATTTTCCAGAAAAAAATTAAATTGGTTATTTGGCAGAGCCAAATAAGCCTTTTAATCCCCCTGTCAAATTATTACATAAATTGGGACAAGGAAAAAGGCTGCCGGTAACAGGTTGCTAGTACACAATTAATTGGACATAGTTTATAATATTATATCCAGGTCAAAGGCAGTTTGACATATTGTTAAAAATGAAGGCACTTACCAAGAAACATGAGCAGTGTGGTCTTGGCAAATGCTGTCATGATCATGCCAGCCATGAACGACAGCAACCCAATAAACACTATGGCAGCCTCTGAAAAACAGTAGGAAAGGCAGTACACGCCAGCAAAACTGGTCAGGAACACGATGGTGGAGAGGGCTGAGCCATACCCAATCAGCACTTCGTTCCAGCACAAGGGCACGTTCAGCTCGTAAAGGATGAAAATGGACACGCCACCCAGGTTGGCAATAATAAAGAACGTGAAACTCAAAATCATTAGGACGAGCAGAATTGACCTCTTCCTACTCGAGGATGCAAAGAGGAGGTAGATTCCATAAACCACCTTCTTGAGAGGCTTGTGGGTGGGCCCGTTCTGGATGTTGGAATAAGGATTTTTAACTGTCTCTTCCAGGATAAAGATGATGTATAGTATATTGATACAGTGAAACACGGAAGAGGCAAAGAAGGGCCAGTTAAAACCAGTTGACCTTAAGAAATAGCCAGTCGAAACGGAAGCCACCCCCGACAGCAAACCAAGAACCATGTCCATGCTGGACATTCGCAGCATCTTCTTCTTGCTGTCATCACAGATATCGGCCACATACGAGAAGCAGCCACCCAGGAAAGTCCCAAAGCCCCCAAACAGAGAGCTCACGAAGTTGGACACGATCAGCAGGTAGAGGCTCAGGCTGAAGTAGGACACACAGAGATAGGTGACTGAAGCGATCAGAGACCCAATCACAGGGAGGAGGATGCTGATCTTGCGTCCTCGATAATCACTGTAAGACACCAGCACTAGAGTGACCAGGAGGCTGGGAATGATGGAGAACAGCTCATTGTAGAGCGAGAACAAAGAGGCTGCTTTTTGGACATCCTGCAAAAATAAAGAAAAATGAAAATTACAAATAAGAGCTTTGGGAAGTTTGTTTCGTACCCTAAAACTGCAAACATGATGTTTTTCTTATAATTAAAGGATTGCAAAATTAGAAGAGAGGCTGCCGACTCAGTTTTTGTTCACTAATACAGATTTTCAACACTTGTTTTACATGGCCCAAACATTAATGATACCGAAGCTGACTGTACTCATTGGACTTAATGTACTTTAATATAACAAGATTTCAAAAATTAATATAACAAGATAACAAAATTAGTTGAATCTTAATTTTGGGTATTTAAATTCATTGGACTATTAATTAACTCATGAATAGATGCATTTGTCATATCCCCGGTACATAATTTTTTATACTTAAAAATGTGTATTAGAAAAGCTCAGAGCAAGTCTATTTGGAGAACATGTCCATGTAATTTTTTTTAAATAATGCCAATTAAGTTTATTTAAAGAATATCAATCTGATAACTGGAATTTTTGTTTATGGGAGTTGTCATTTCAAAGCTGGTGGCTTGTTCAGTAGATCTGTTCGCATTTATAAACTGCTGTACAAAGATCTTAAACACTTTGTTTATTTTTGTCCTGCCAGTGCTTTCCCTTCTTTACAAAGGGAAACAATTCTTGATCATTGATTTGCGACATTTTAATTTGTACAAGTATTTATGTTATTTGTATATACCCTGGGGTACATTACCTATAGCTTCATGGATTGTAGAGAGGTACATTGTGCTAACGAGGGAACACACCTCAGTCAATTAGATTTGACTGGGAAATGTGGTGAGGTAATACAATACTTGATGTACCCTGTTAGTATCTAAAACTTGAGGAAAATGCTTTTTATATACTGTATAGTCTTTGCATCCCAACTTTCGAGAACCAATGGGGTATTTTTTTAAACAAAATGTGTCCCTGAAAGGAGATAAAAGCAAAAGACAGTTCATGTTGTTTGTCACAGTAGAACAAAAATGCCTTTCTCAACAGCTTGTTAAAAAAGAGAATAAAAAAGCAGAAGTGAAATCCCCCCGTCAATTATATGGAAGTGCTGTTAAGTCAGTGTTATTGTCCTTGTGGGGGAAAAAAGACTGGTAAAATGCCAAACTAAATACCACAGAGACTAGGTGTGTCAAACATTCGACCGGGCACTTCTGGCGTCTCACAATTGTCAATATGTGTAACGACTGGACATTTGGAAGATATTTAGCCTTTCTTACAGTCCCACACAGAAATAAATTAAATTTTATATTATTTTAAATTTAAAAAAAAATCAACAGCAAAGAAGTATTTCAAATATGACTTGTTTCAGGGAGACTAGGAATACGTATAACCGAGATCAGAGAGACGTTGAGTTTGTGAAAAGTTAGGTGAAACAAAGTGGTGGAAATTATACAAACGGGGTGAAACCATTGGCAAACTGCGAAAACACCTCGCTCGTTTACTATAAAAGTGTCTGTAGTGAAGTCTCTCACCTCATGATGGTTAGTGACGTTGGTGCTGTTCGGATTGCAAGCGGACGTGTTGTCGTTGCCAGTTGGATATGAGGTGTTCGTCACCTGCTGCCACAGTCGGCGGTACACATACTGTTGCAGGAGTGGAAATGCCAAAAAATTGGCAAACGCATAAAAGCCGACAACGGGCTCCACCAGAAACAGACCCTGCATTCCTCTGTCTGGACAAAACCACCGTCTGCAACCAGAAAAGGGCATCAAAAACTACACAGACACACTAGTGCATCAAGATTATTATATATATTATATATAAACCGCTGTAGGCTTACTGCTTACAGGTTATTTTGAATAACAAAGCGCTGTTTCTGCATACATTACAGTTGTTATGTCGCTAGACGAATCGTTAAGGGTTTCAAAGTCGCACTTTGAAAATACAAAACACAGATAAACGTGTTCGATTACAGAAAATATTTCTACCACTAATACTTTCACACTTCTTTGAGACGATGAATCATTAAAAAATGCGCAACTTTCCGCACAGGTTTTCATATGAAACACTGCATCACCAGCTTGCGGTTAAGCAAACAAACTCTATTAGATATTTTAGCATATACAAGACTTCATAGCAATGGTAATAAATGAACAAATTTTAAAAACTGTGAACTACACGTGGAGCTACATTAACTACCTGAAAGTAACATTCTCGACCGTAAAATAATCACAACTTTAAACGGAAGTGAAAAATTCCGAATTGAAGATTACTAGAGTGAAAATTTATTTCACCACAGGCAATAAACACAGTAAGTAGATCATCAGAAAAATAAAACCTAGAAATCATGCAATAAATTCGTAGTTGTATAACTTACCTTTTTCAGGTATTCGTTTAAACACACGACAATGACACGAAGCAATTAGTACAATGCACAAACTTACCTAAAGATTCATCTATGTTAGTATTGCTGGTTTTCTGCGACAGCACGTAGATAACGATCTCCTGTATGAAAGAACGAATCTATACTTGGAAAGCATTTGTTTGCTTTTATATTAGGCAAGACACTGGTACGGAATCATAAAACATCTCTTTCCTAGGGGTTTCGTCCTCCTTGATTTGCAATAGGACTACTCTAGCCTCGCTGAACACGTGCCTCATTTGCAATTGGGCTCGCTTCCTTGTCAATCATAAGGTTTCCGTTGTGCAGTTTGATCCGCACGGAGAGAAAGCTAACCTCGTCATTTTGGTACTGAACTCCGAAGATACTTCATTGCGTTCATCCGACTGTTAGAAGTCGTTATGCATATTCAATGTACACCTGTTTGAGAATGGACGGAAGTATATTTTGAAACTGGTCGCATTTTGTGTGCTTTCGTGGCAGATTACGTTTTTTATGCTGTTAATTTGAAAACGCGTAAAATCAAGATTTTTCCATGTTTTGCAAATTACAGCAAGTCAACTGAAATTGCTGAAGCTTCGATAACTCATTAAAACTACAAATAGTATTAATATAAGTAACCGCGGCTTTTTTGTATATAAAATACTCTATGTATTTTTCCTAAATTGTATAAAAAATATCGGTTTTAGCTTCACGTCATCGCGAATTAAGATTTTAATTGTATCCTTTAAATATTTTGATTTAAACACTTTTAATCCACATTCTGATTTAAAATACATTTGTACATTTAAATACATATCTGACAGCAGTAGCCCAGAATCTGCCTATTTGTGTGATCAATATGCAGTGGAAAGAGTGCATTCAGAAGATGGTTGCACACTTTTATATTCAAACTGTGTTACAGTGTTAGATCTATAGCCAGATACTTGAATTGAACCAAGACACACCAAGAGTAAAACATTTGTTGCTGTATTTTGGTTAAAGGTGTCAACTACTATTGTATTTCTTCAAATAATGTGTACAGTAGTGACAATGTTTTGCACTGGATTTTTTTCAGTAAAATATCTCGAGACATTTTGCATGAGTACCTTAATGTACCTCTTACATTGTTTTGAAGGTTCTGTAGCTGATATAATGCAGTTTCTATATGCAAATAATAATTTTAAGCAAAATCAGTCAATTTATGAAACATGTCTTATCACGAAAGTCACTATTGTGTCTGAAACAATTGTGGCTAGCAAACCTCCTTAGCTCTCAACAGTGAATCAGAGAGAAAATAAAGAGCATAGTGTACAATGTGTAATCAGAAAAACTCTATACTATGCTAAAGCTATTTAATGTTGCTAAGCTTTATCTTGGCTCAGCTAGAGATGTGTTGTCAATTTCTTCCTTGATAAACACCTTTGTGAAATATGACTTTAACTAATTCCATATATTAGCCAGGTTACTTTTCTTGGAAGACAGTGTAACATACTGTAGTGGGTCAGTTTCTGGACTGGTGGGTTAAAGTCCCTGAGGCGTACTTTTTGCAGGGTACTTTAACCTGATTGCTCCAGGCCACCCAGCTGCTCTCTGGTGAACTGGCTTTCTGTCCACTGGGGGCTGGAGTCATGTGCTCTCTATTTGCTTAATGTCATGAAAATCGTGATTAGCTCTGGGCTGATGGTCCTTTGCAGTTTCAACATGGAACTACCAATGTTATCTCACTCTTCCTGAGGCATCCTGCTTCATCCTTTACTGTTCATCTGCTGTTGTTATCCTGAAAAATACATTATATTAACGCTTTATTCTATTCTGTCTCTTGCTCAACCATCCTACTAACCTAGTTTTACCTATTTTGCAATTCAGTGCACTCCTTTTCTCTAACTGAATAAATATTTTTTTTTCAATTATGTTATATATTGCTCCCTTTCTCATTATATACTATTGGTCTTCGATTTTCCTATTCTTAGGTAGAATCTGTTTTATGTTTCAAGAAAAATATCTTTAAAGTGCCCTCTAGTAACGGGGCTTCTGTCTTGACATCTTTTCACAGCTCACAAAACAGTCAGGAAGCCAGACTTCACAGAAGGCCACAATCAGTATCCCTCCACTTGCACTTGAAGGGGAACTGTAGTCCTAATTTCTCAGGCCGGTTATTAAACCTCAATTATAAAATAAATTAATTGATAGTATGGCAAAATTGAAGATATTCCGAATTAAACACAAAATTGTGAACTATGAAAGTACTGTCACTATTTTTGTAGAGAGTTCATGAGAATTGTGAACCGGCTCTTCCTGCTCTCTAGTCACTCTAATGACTAATGTACAGTAATGCGATGCATGAGTGAATAAGTACAGGTTGTGCAGCAGACATTTCACCTGAGAAATGTTCTAACGTGATCTGTATGCAGAGTTAATAAATAATTAGTATTTGACTGCGAAACTGTCTCAAAGTGGAGAGCAATATTTCTGCTGGATTAAAAGTAATGTACCTGTATTCACAAATCTGCTTGTTTACAATGTAATAGAACCGCTTCACTTCACTGGATGTTTTGCTGGCTTGTTCTGAATCACAGAATATGGTGCTGCACATACCTGGAAATGTAGTCTATTTTGTGAAGTAAAAAGGGGGTTTTACATGTTACTATGTACATTTTACATTCATTGTGATTTGAAATGCACTTATCAATTCTGATTCTTTCAAACACCGAAATACACACATAGCATTGAGTTTCCCCTTTAATTTCATGTTCTGACTGTATATGTTGACCAGGTAAATCAGAGCTTTGATCATGATGCATTTTTTATCCAATCTGAAGTGTACCAGCACATGCACCAAGAATCATGACTCTTCTAATGCCATAAAAACCTTATTTTCCAAGGCACAGCACACTGGGGAAATCTGCATATACAGTACTGTACTTCCTGCAAAAGAACAGAAAATGCTTGTATGTCTCCTACTTTCTCCTAAATTGTCATATGGGTAATAATTAAATAACATTATGAATTAGAAAAGATCCCTTTGTAAATACTCTAGTTCATTTCTGCTTTATTCACATAATTAATCCCAAAAAGAATTGCTTAAAATAATCTCTAAATTACTGAAAGTAACTGTAATCGTATTATTGTCAAAAAAGTGTAAGAGATGACCTTTACCCAGATTTTGAGCTCTTATTACAATTAAAACAGTAACTGGTAACCCATTGCCTTCCAACACTGCTTTGAATGCAAGAAACAACTTTATAAACACCTTTATACAGTACATTTAGCAAATCAGCCAAACAAAATGAAGGGCAGTAATTTTGACCTTATAAACCTTAACAGAGGTTTTGGACTTTTCCAGGACTTTTTCCAACAGTAAACAGAAACTGGATAGCACAATGTAAAACGTAAGAATGTATTTTGGAGTAAGAACGAGAGCTGCCTCTTAACTCAAAAGAACAGGATACACATCTTTACACAAAGGTGTGTGTACAGTTTCGAGCCACATTGCTTATGCTGTTACCCAGCCTTACTTCAGGAGCAACTTGCCAAACTGTAACTACTACAGTAGGTCTACCCCTGCTCTGAATAGCCTGTCCACATATTGTAGGTCTTGATCCTGGCTAACAACCAGCTGTAAACCAAACCTCTTCCAAACACACTTCAGATGTGTGTACCTTACTGACTGACTCCCAAAGTACTTGTTCTGGAGGGTAATGAGTGGCCAATATATTCTAGTGCCCTGGTAACCTCCCTTTTCTCTCTGACCTGTCAGCACGTACTGTAGTCCACCAGTCAGGACCTGTCTTCACTTAAGTCCTCCTGCCTGTGATTTAAAAGACACCATAACTATGAGTGGCTTCAGTGATGCAGATTATTACATCATACTAATTGATAAAAATTTAAAGCACTTTTTCATAAGATCAACTATGAAACTGTAACAGGAAGTTGTTTGGCACAGTAGGCGGATGTATTAGCTTAATCACGCAGGCTAGTGTGCCACTATACGGAATCGTCCCATTGTTGTTTTCAGACATAAACCAATTTAATAGCAGATTCAGTTTTGGTTTATTCTTTACACGAGTCTATCGTACTAGACAACCACCTGTGACACCATCATCTGACTGGAAGGGACCTGCAAGCACGTCACAACTGACAGACAGTTTAGCGGAAACGTAGAAACACTACAGGAAGTACTCCAGTGGGTTTGTGGGAAATGTAGTTCGCGTTTGGTAATACAACATCTTAAGGCATCTAGAAGTATACCGAGTAGTTTTCTGGCCACGGCTCTCTAAAGTTCATATTAACCTGGGTGCCCACACAGGCAATGTATAATAACATATAATGGGTGCTATTAGTAATAATTAAGACAGAGTTACATACCCATTTTCAATAACTGCTTAGTTTCCAGCGTTCCCAGGTCCTAAGGCGCTACTGTGAGGCAAAAAAACTGAAGTAAGAACATAAGATTAAAAAGGAGAGGGTGGTATTTGACCTGTCCAGCTCTTTAGGACTCTCTTAGCTATTTGAACTCTGCACTCAGGCGCGTCATGAAGGAAACATGAGTTTAAAATTTCAGCTTAAACAACATAGCTGGGTAACTTCTTCTATACTTCCACAACCTTTGAAATTTTCTCCTTTTATCAACTTTAAATGCACATTTCAATGTAGTCAAGCAGGATTTGGTGACCTGAATATTTTTTCACCCAGCTTTTGTTTATTAATTGAAGAATGAGAAAATATACTAGTTATATCTGATTATTTACAGAGCAAAAACATAATGTTTCCAAGAAGGACAAAATATCAGTCCTCCACCCCCGAGGCCTAGTACACAGTGAGTCTGCAATATGTGCAAACATAAAATATAAAAAAACTAGCTGTATTATGATTAAAGATATCAGTTTTAGTTTGCACGTGTGTTTAATCTTTAATGACAGTTTTCGAAACTGGGCTCTCACTCTATCAGATTATCTTGAAAACCCTGATTCTTACAAAGCAAGCGCATTCCTTAAAAAATCTTTCTTTCAAAAGTTTTATTGAACATCAAATTATGCAAAAGAGAAAGGGTATCCAAAAATATAAGTGAACAAAAAACGCAGAACAAAGGTATACATTTGAGCACAATAACTTAAATTTCTTGCATCAGTTACAACAGATTTGTTTATATATATATATTTCAAGTTTTTAATGGAAGTAATACTGCATTTCCACCTCATAAGCATTAAAAGGGGAATTAGACCCCTTATTAGCATAAGTCTTGGCGTTAGACCATTTTGTTCTATGAGCGTTCCTCACAAACCTGGGATGCCCGTGTGTGCCGGGTTATACGGTTACGCAGGCGGAACCGTGCGCTGCGGACGTTTGACGTCGCCTATTGGCAGTGGGAGGGCAGGGACTCTGTGGTCTCGGAGATCAGAGGCTGGTAAATCCGGCGGAGACAGCAGTGGGACGGTGAGGAGATTTGAAAATATCATTATATGAAATACCTGTAAATCGTTTTCTGCGATACAGACCATTTTCGCTGGCCTGCGCGATTAACACCCGTGCGTGTCTTTGCGTGACAGATGGCCTTTCACTAAAGAGCGTACTGGGCTTAGTGAGGAGGCGAAATGCACTAAAATACTTCATAACAGGATACTGTAGAAGCAAAATGAAGCCGGAAGACAAGACGGTGTTATAAATCAAAGAGATGCGTGAAAATATGTGGTTTCAGTGATTGCCATAAGTTAGAGTTAGGAAATGTCATTTTAATATTGGTAAACCAGTTTGAACGTCAGCATTTTAATCTTTGTGTTTGATTTTATACATATCAGTATACGCAGCTATTTATGTTGTCAGAGCAGCAGGACCTGGAGTCCCATTGTAATTTCGTATATTGTATAGCCGCCAGCCATTCATTATCATATTGGGTTTATGCTCAAGGGTGGTGTCTTCTGGCCTGTATCACGCAAAGGGCCTGAATTGATTTTGCGTGATTAGAATGAAACGCCAGTCTGCGATTTTTTTGTTTACCTAACTGAAGGTTAATCGGTGCGAGTTCAAATCACCCAAACACAGCAGTGGAGCAAGATTACTGTGCGCGTATCCTATGTAACTGCAAGGGGGCGAACTGTATATGATTTCCTGCTGTCAGATTTGTTAGAACTGGTGGTGTGGTAAGTGACAGTTCCTGCAACGCGCGATTGACACATTCTAGTCAATTCAATGCTGTTGGCCTGAGAGTCATGGCTTTCAAAGGTAGTAGCTGGATGCCGATGCAAATGTATTTATTTAATTTTAGGGATGTCCAGACTACCATGTTTCATCTGTCCTGGAAATTGGGGATATTTAAACAGTCCTAGCTGCTTCTTTTAACATCAAGTTAACAGATACCCAACCTGGCAGATTTCCAGTATTGGATATGACAGTAATACGTCTGAAGCACAACACCGTGATTGAAATATAGACACTATGATGGCAATAATGGCAATAATATAGACAATAATGGCACTTTGAGCTGAAGCACTTGAGAGTTAAGCCTTATCTCCAAGGCAGCTTGCTAGAGTCTCATCCATCCACCGTCCGCCATCCATTTTCTAACTGTTTGATCCAATTCTGGGTCATGGGGGAGCTGGAGCCTGTACCGGCAACACTGGGCACAAGGCAGGGTACACCCTGGACACACACATACACAACAGGGCCATTTTTCCTGCGTGCCGATTAATGTACCAGTGTGTTTTTCAACTGGGAGGAAACCAGAACACCTGGCAGATGTTCTAACATGCTAACACAAGAAAAACAAACTCCACACACATAGCACCCTGGTCTGGAACTGAATCCAGGGCCCTGTGCTGTGAGGCAGCAGTCCTCACCAATTCACCACCATGTTGTCCACTAGAGTCTCATATGAGTTAAAAAATATAAGAGGTTGTAAATAAGACAAGATCACTTGACTCATAGCTCAGTGGTGCGAAGGTTTCATCTAACTGTTTCTTGTAGAAAACTAGTGTATTAGCTTTAGAAACATACAGTAGCTACTCAGCTTGTGCCATACTCCCACAATTCTCTGTGTAAAGGATCACTTCCAGTTCTCAGTTTTTAAGTGCACTGCCCTGCAGTTTCCACACGTGTCCTTACTTTGTTTTTCTGTTGATACTGAAAAAAATCCATTGATCTTGAAAAGCATGAGGCAGGTCCCCTAGAAGATCTTTCTGTTCCAACCTAAAAAGATTCAGTTCTTTTTTTTATTTTATTAGAGCAGACAGCAAGGGGACCTGATGCTAGTGTTTAAAAAGGCAGTCTACAACTCCATGAGGCTGAATCGTGGGTGTTTTCTCTCTGGATCATCAGAAGCTGCAACCCTGTGTTTTGGCGATGATGAATCAAGGGTTCATCCTTCTGCTAATGATGGATATGCTCACCTCCAGAGAGCCCAAGGAGAAAAAAGTGCCCACTGCAACACTGCTCAGTGGGTTTCTTCCAAAGGCAACTGGCTCATAGCGTAGGAGGTGGACTGTGTTGGAGTTTAGCAGGGTCCTGGAGAGATTTTAGCAGATAGGGCTTCAGCTCTTTGGCTCTGTCTGGGACACTGGTGTGATCGTTAGTCACACTAGATTATATTATCTTACCTGCCAGGCTAGCCATGGGTTTCTGCAGGCTGGAGATTGTAGGGAAGTCTACAACGATGGAGGGGCAGGCTTGTGTGAACTCGTAGGTATCGCATCAGGGCTGCAACCTTGCATGCAAATTATAGTTTACAGTTTCATTTTACAGTTTACAAGTTGCAATTCCAGTCACACTTGCAGATTAAGATGGAAGACTTTAGACATTGTCTACCTTCCAGGCTGCATGAAGTATTGGGGCCAGTATTAGTTGATCCTGAATTTCACATCAAGTCTTTAGAGATTGATAGTTGATAGTGTTTTGATTGGGCAGTGCTGTCTGATGTGAAATGAATGCATTGGTTCAAGCGAGGACAAATGACTGTTTCCCAGGAAAAATATTTGATTGGCCACTTGTTAGAGACAAAATACAAAAACTGAAAAAATGATTTTTCAGAATCAAACTGCATTTTTTAAAATAAGGCCATTGTAAAAAAATATGTTCTTTGAATAATTTACATTTCCTTATACTTTATTGGAAATCTATTCATTTGGCAACTTTGATTGCATTTATTTTTAGAGAACAGAGTTTTATTTTTGTGGACATTTCCCTTGCAAATGAAGGACCATTTCCAGTTGACATCTGACAGGCGTAAGGTTATAAATCATACAAAAATGAAAAAAGTGTTTTTGCAAAACATCAGAATCAAGAGTAATTAATAGTCTGCCTTATGTTACTTTTATCGCATTTGTATTGCATATTTTTATAAATCTTGGGTTCAGTTTGAAGTGGGACCTGAAACCTGCAATCGTAAATATTGACCAGATTTGTACGTCTGGACATTAGTTTTTTGAGAAAATCTGATTGCGTTCGTCTTGGATTGAGGCTTGAGAAATTGAAGGTTTCTCTTTTCTGCTCTTTCAGGTGTGTTTTAATATCTTAAAAAGAGAAGAAGAAAAAGATGGCCTTCAGCAAAGGATATCGCATTTATCACAAACTGGACCCACCTCCCTACAGCGTGATAGTGGAGACGAGAAACCGAGAGGAGTGCCTGCTGTTCGAGTCGGGAGCTGTTGCTGTCCTGTGTAAGTCCAGTAACCAGAGTCACAGCAGCGGTTTGCAAATGTTTTCTGAACCATCAAGCCATCTGACAGTTTTTACCCTACACCATGGTGCATTGCTGTGTGTGTGTGGGTGGGGTAGGGAGGAGTCATGTTAATTCTTAAGCACTGCCCAATGCTCAAGTCTTTAAACATAAGGTCAGCAAAATCTGTTACTGCAAATGTATCATGGAAGCTGTTCCTGCTCAGCTAAGTGAAACACTGCTTGTAGTATCCAGCCCTGTTCTGTCAAAGAGGGTGGGGCTGAGTTAGTCTTCTTTGTACATTTTGTCAGAGAAATGTCTCATTAGTCTTTCCTCTAGGACCCCGGGAGACTTGAGCCTAATTGGAAATACCGAAAGAAACAGAGCACACCCTTACCAGTATCTGTAGCTGTCGTGACATATAGTGCTGTGCAGGTTTTTTAGAAGTTTCAACAGAAGACTGTCATTTTTTGTCTTTTCTAAATGCTGCCATACCGGCCTGTGTATAACAGGTTTCAGTTATGGATCAGTAAAGAAAAGGATGGTTTTGCTCAACACTTTGCATACCCATGTTTGGTGTGTGTAATTTAATTCATGTTTCGCAATGTAATACCGGAGATTTTATTTACCAGATGACCTGTTAAATATTGCGCTTGGCTGCTGGACTTAGACTTATTCATAGCTGGACATCGTGGTGATGATTGCAAGCACTTTTCTTTCTAAAGGCCTTCTCACTGCATCTGAAATTGCAATCCAGAAATTCTATGTAATGTACTGTATGTCGATTTCAATAAAATGCATATGTTCCGTTTAATCATGTTTAACTTGCAAAGATACAAGGAAGCAAACTGAAAGGAAGTTGGTATATCTATGGTGTGATCAGGCTGTGATCACAGGTTCATCTTTTTTCGGGGTTATGAATTCTCTCCTGATGGTTTAGGTAGCTGAATTACTTTCGCTTATCAGTGAACTGTTGCGGACACTACTGTACGCATTGTTTTCCTTCCCAATGGCAGCGGATTGCCCTCTGCTTATCAGTCATCTTTCCTTCCCGGCTTTGGCTCTCTTTATCACCATATACATTTTTGTCATAGCTCCTGTCTGAGCAGCAGTGGCTTGTGTCAACC